ATACGTAGTAAAACGAGTAAACAAGCTGAAACGAGCAAACGAGCAAACGAGCAAACGAGCAAACGAGCAAACGAGCAAACGAGCAAACGAGTCTCGTATTCTAAAAGCCCAAAAGTTTTGTCCACTGTGCCACGATTCCAATAAATTTTGCACAACAATAGCAGTGAAAACACTGCACCAGATAGACTAGATTAATTTTCCTCTGAAATCAATGTGCCTAGTGCGTGGCAGAGATGCAAGGGATTAGCCGATATGGCCTGGGGGCCGGCTGGTCTCTCCCCTGATGCTTCGGCTAGAACATTTTCTTGCGTAATTCGTACACCCAAGGGCAGAAGGATTTAATCGCCGTCAGGTCCGAAGTCCATACGACGCCTCAGTTCTGCGGATGTCTCGGGGGTATGGCAAAGTGGAATCGTATTTTTTTAAATTTTTTTGGCACAGGTTTAATTTTTTTCTTTCGTTTTTTTTTTTCCCCGCTTTCTTTTCTTTGTGTGGGTGTGTGTGTTTTTTTTAGTTTTAGCTTGTATTTTTTGTTCTGTTTTTGTTTTTGTCTTTGTTTTGTGTGTGTGTTTTTTTTTGTTTATTTTTAAAAATCTTTTGTGTGTGTGGGTATGTGTTATTTTTTGAAATAACAGTTTTTTTTAATTCTGATATAATTTTTTTAAATCAAAAGAACCAAATCACAAGTACAAAAGGTTGAATCAGGATCTGGAAAGCAAAAACCAAAAATCTCTCAACAGCGGAAAAGGTAGAATAGAAAAGCTTGCTCTGTTGTTAATATATTCTTCGTTTGCACGTTACGTCATCGCGGCCATGTTTGTGCCATTTAACGAAATATTTCTCACTAGCATCCATTGTTAACGGTACCACAATGGCCGACATGTTTTTGTCTTTTAACTCTCTTGGGAATGCTTGCAAGCCATCAATTGGTTTATTATAGTTTACTTGCTTTATTCATTTATTTCCTTAATTTATTTTATAGTAACTCAATTTGTATAGAATTATTAATTTATTTTTATAATAACGACTTTTTTTATTTTTTTCTTTAAATTAAACGAAGAAATCGTAAAGGAAAGTAAACGTAAGTCTTGGACTCTGAAACGAAATTTAATATAAAGGCGAACGCTAGAAGATTACAGCGTTTCGACATCGTCCGATGTCATTATCAAGTAAAGTAGTGACATCGGACGATGTCGAAGCGTTGTAATCTTCTAGCGTTCGTCTTTTTATTAAACGTAAGTCATGATTATTTATATTTAGTAAAAATACGCAGGTGATTATAGAAAATCTCGCGCGCTGATTGGTCAAAAAACTCGCACTATCACACGATAATCACCTCGAGCGAAAATCCAAAAAACAACCTCAAAGGGACAAAAACAGGAGAACACGGAAAAAATCCCTTGACTGAATCAAAGGAGACACCAAACAAACTCTAATCACGTGATGCTGAGTCCAGGAATCAAACCCGAGACACGATAGGTGCGAAGCGAGTTTACTTCCGTCACCACACTTGGATTTCTGTAACTGGGTCAGCTTTACTGCGGTTCTCGGTATTATGCAAGCTTCGTTAGTAACGAGCTGCACAATAAATTTGGTTTTTCGCTGCCGTGAATCGAAAATAATCAGTTGGTATCTTTTATGTTCTTGACTGGCGGCAGTAAAAACCAATTTCACAACAAACCGTTGGAATGTCTGGGTTTTCAGAATACCGAAAACTGCAGTAATGCATGGTAGAGCAGTTTTCGTATGACTGTGAAAAGCTCAGTGCCGTAAGCGTGACGTGCCGTGACCGTGATGCTTTCTAGAATTTTAATTGGCTGATTTTTTCAAGCGCAATATGATTGGTCTAGCATTGCCGTGACCTTAGCGTGATCGTGTCCGCGCCGTGTTTATGCCGTGCTCCGGGTATTTGATTGGATGGAGAGTAAATTCTCGTGCAATGTGATTGGTCTGGCGTATCCCTTGCTGTGTCACGACCGTGTTCGTGCCGTGAACTTTTCACAGTCATACGAAAACTGCACTATCAATAATATGAAAGTCTTTCTTACAGGTGGTATACATGCAGTCCTCTTTGGAGCAAGCATTGCGACATCTCTCATCAATCTTGGATTAGACATCATTCTCAAAGTAAAGGGCTGTTGTGTCTTCTATAAATCCATTTGCCGAGATACGAAGGAATATAACGGTAGAAGTAGGGCACTGGCAAGACAAATGAACGCCATAAATCTTGAGTGGAGAAGAGGTAAATTAAGTCGTATGAATGGATGAATATTTGGAATTGGAGGGATGGATGGATGGATGGATGGGATTGGATGGATGGATG